ACACAGAGATTTGGCAGATGCAGGAGAGTGAGGATTGAGCCTCACTTCTGTTGGATTCCAAGTTCCAGGATTTCTTTCGCTAACCCTGTGACTATCTTTTCAACTCAACCAGAGCCAGCACAATGGCTTCTGATGAAAATAATCCCAAGAGTCAAACCCAGACATCCACCTGCAACCACTCAGGCTTGCAGGCTTTCACATTTGTTGGTTATTTCTTTGGTGCTGATGTCACAGCAGCTGAGGGACAAAGGTGCTGGCCCTGTTCCAGAAGAGAGGCCTCTCCAAGGAAGCGTGCTCTGGGACAGGTGTGCTTCCTGCCTCATTGAGCTGCCTGCGCTTCTCCAGATGCGGCCTATACTTAAAACCGTGGCTGTCTCTCCTAAACTGTACTCAGCATCGCAAACTTTCTGTCTTAATTTGTGATCCTGGTGTTCCAACCAAAACGACTGTTGGAAACAGGAAATTCTCATGGGGGAAAATCAGGTTCGTGTTGACAAAACTCAAAGTTCTTCCCAGCCTATCTGTACCGTACCAGCATTGTGGTGAGGAAGGAGAACAGAGCATCTGCTGCAACTTCTGTGACCAGAGATGCAGAAATCGCCGTGTGCGGGGTGCCAGAGCCTCCCGACAGACGGTGTCCTCTTTCTAAGATGCAGCAGGCCTTGAGCTGGCTCAGTCAGCAGAACAGGCGTGAGGCGCACGCACTGTCTCGGGCTCCCGTCAGCTTAAACAACAGACATCTACTGCTTATGGTTCTGGAGGCCGGGAATCCTAGATGCAGGGTTGACAAGGTTACTTTCTTCTGAGGTCTCTCTCCTTGACTTGTAGATTCTGCCTTCTCTCTGTGTCTCCACACAGTCTCCCCTGCATGGGCCCTCATGGGCACGTTTCCCCTTCTGAGAGGACACTCTTCACGCTGGGCGAGGGCCACTCTGCAACCTCACTGGAACTCACTTCCATCTTTACAGAGCCTGTCTCTACTCAGAGTTACATTCTAAGCAAGATACTGGGGGCATGGCCTTTCCATGTAAAAGTGGATAACTGGTACCAAGCCTTCACACCTCAAAAGCTATTAGCAAAAGAATATTTTGTTTTCTACAGTGGAGAGCAGAGTGCTCGTCCTCTTGCTGCATTAACTAGTTTCTTGGGTTAATATTCCATTTTCAGATTGACCTCTGCTTTCCACTCTTGTCTCTGCACCGAGCACGTATGTCATACCTCCCTTAGATGAGGTCATGCCTGCCTGATTATCAGGGATCCTGGAGCCCAGACAGGACTGTCCTTTCCTCCTTTTTGTACATCTTCATCCAAGACTGGAGATGCACAGCCAGGCACCAGAACCTCTGAGGCTCACTGAGGCTCTCTGCTTATGTTGACTGGAATGCAGAGGCATTTGGTTATCTGATGGCTGCAGCACACACCCTGCACTGCACTGGGAACCACCACATCCAGGTCTGTTGTGCAAGGTCATGGCAGTAGCTACCCAGCCGGGGCTCGGGGACTGATGAAGTGCTGCCATGGGAATCCACTGGACAGGCCAGAAACGAGCTGCAGTGGGAATCCACGTGCCTGTCTCTAAGGTCTGTCCTGCTGTCAGTAATTGCTTCCTATTGCCGAACCTATTTTAATGTCTCTAAAAGGTGTAGTATAGCTGCCATTCCTTTACATGTGGGTCTCAAAGGGTCTGCGGGTCCTGGCCTCACGGCTGCGCACCTTCTGCTGTCCTGCTCCTGCCTGGTCCCGTCAGAACTGTTCCAGTGTGGCTGAGGTGGGTCCTTCGTAACCTGAAATGCTCAGGTCAGCAATGGCAGCCAGACCAGGGGGCTGCAGAGACAGGAGGGAAGACCCCACTCAGTAGGCTCCGCTCCCTGATGGGATTCCAGGATGGATCTGCTCTCAGCAGGGAGTACTGATGGCGCCCATTTGCCAGGACAAAGACTGTCTTGCTGAGTGCTCACATTTTCCAGGACCATTAAAGGAAGTTTCCTCATCAGTCCCTCTTGTGGATCCATTACATAAGCCACATCTTTCTCCCTGGCTCTCCCTTCTGGCTGGAGCCGCCTTTCTTTTTTCTCTGTATGTGGCACATTCCTTCTGTGATTCTCCCTTTACTTCTGTCCTTGGACAACTCTGGAAGGATAGAAAGGCTTTCCCTGCTTTCTGCCTATCTGACAAAGATCACCCAGGCCAGGTTTAAATCTTGCTGTGCTGTTGAGAGGCTGAAATAAGGGATTGCCAAGACTATCAGCTGAGTTCAGAAGCTGATGTGCTCCTTCTCCAGCGCGAGAAGCCTGCTCTAGCTGAATGGGAGGTGGGCTTGGTGCTGTCCCTGGACATCAGCTGTCCTGTGGGACTCAGGCAACATCGATGTGTATATATGTCCCCCAGCTCGAGGTAAGGCTTTTCCAGCACTGAGTATGTCAGTACAAGGATGAAACACCTCACTTCCTGTGTTTTAGTCATATCTGCGAAGGCAAACCCCTCCGATCGTAAGCAAACACCGAGCACCGCAGCACACGTGCTCGTGCATTCACAGGGTGACACTCGCACAAGCTCTCATGATACAAAAGCGGCTTAGGCACACGGTGCTTTTCTCTCCTTCCTTGGGGATGAAGGTGAAGACAATTCTGAACTCCATGTGAGAAAATGGCAGAAGATGTGACAAAAACTATGCAGAGTGATACAAAAGTCTAGGAAATCTACTTCTCTGCAAAGCAGCTGACATCAGCTAGCTAATAGTTTAAATATCTCTATGGGAAATAATTACCACTCAGTTTTTAGGGATGTCACAGAATCTTGTAGCATGAACATATGCACTTACCTATCTACACACAGGTAAGGACATAATTTTGTGGATTCCTGTGGGAGCCATCAGGCACACAGCACTGAATTAGTCACAAGCCCAGGATGTAGAAGCTCATCACAGGCTGATCGCTTATTTTCCATGGTCAATAATGCAATAAAGTACCTGCAGACCCAGCACCAAGGACCACCACCGTGACTCAGCCCAGTCAGCGTCTAACCGCACAGCAATGCCCTGCGCCCTGCCACTGCCCCTCCATACTGACAACATCATCCTTCTAAATTCTACATTACTTTCCTTTTGATAAAATTTGATTGCATTTATTTGTATTTCTACAAAAGCATGCTTTTATTTTATTCCTATTTAATTTAGAATCTTTAGAATTCAGTTCTGCACTTGATGTTTTAGCATTGCTAGAGTTCAACCTCTTCATAATGTTTCATAATGTAAATATACCGGTTTATTATACACTTTCCATCCAATGGGCAATTGCATTGCTTCCCAGTTTTGCTACTGTGAGCAATGCGATGCTGAGCATTCCTACACATGCCCCTTCATGTGTATGTGTAAGATGCACCATAGGCTACAGAAATTCTGTTTAAGAGTGGATGACAGGGAACAGAGGTGTAGCTCAGAGGCCAGCACCTGCCCGGAAGCACAAGGTCCTGAGTTCGATTTCCAGTGCCAAAACAAGCAAACAAAAAGCGAAATGAGAGTGAATGATAACATTTAAAATTCTGTACAAGCATCCCACACACTTACATATGTAATTCAGATAGTTGATATCATTCAAATTGACCTCTACCACAATTAAATGAAAAAACAATATTTTCTATTGGGCATTTTAGTCAGAATAAGTTTTTAAAATGCATTTATTCCATAAGTAAAATGCTATATAAGTTTACCCAAACAGGAAAGTCTTAGATCATGCCAGAACTAGAACTCAAATAATTTGTAAACTCAGATAAGTCAACGTAATACTGCTGCAGTATTGATGATTCTTTTAGGAGAAAGTTCTCTCTGCTATTCGGGGAAAGATCAGCTTCAAAACAGCCCCAAACATGAGGCCACGGAGTTGAGGCTGATTTCCCAGTGTGCACTCCATGCTCTCTGCTGACTGGCGAAAACCTAGGTTCTCATCTGCACACGAGGAGGCTTTGCTCTGTGAAGAAGCCCTTGTAGATATTTTCTCTTTAACTTTGACGTATTCGCAGCGTGTTAGGATGCATCAGCAAACACAGGACCTGAGGTTTCTGTTGTTCTTTTACCTATGCTGCCTCCTCTAAACTGTACTCAGCGTACGACTCAACTGTTGCTCTTCTCGTTCAGACTAGTGTTCTATCTCTGGAACTATATATACATACGGGTGTGACTGAAAAATACAGCATGTGTGTAAATTAAAAGAATTGATTGCAGTAAAAGACACATTGCCACTAATGCCCCTCAAAGTACTTTCCCTTGGTCTGAACACACCTCTCAGCGCTGGCCGCTTTTTGGAAAAGTTCAAGTCCTCTTGTTAGTGTCTTCAGTGGCACTGTCATGGCTGCCTCAGCGCCCTGAATTGATTGAAAATGCTGATCTTTCATGATCCTTTTACTTTGGGGAAGGGCCAGAGGTGACTGATGCCAGCTCCAGTGAGTGAGGCAGGTGCGGACGCACGCTGGTTTTATAAGCTGCTTCCCACTGTGCGGCACCCAGCCCCAGCACCTCCTTCACACTCACAGCCACATGCCCCAAAGAGGACTGCAGAGCCATTCAGGCAGTGGCAGGAGCAGTGCGATAATGGTGCTCAGAGTCAGGGGAATGTTCTGAGGGGGCTTAATGGCTTTTTACTGTAATGGTCTGAAGCATTTCCTTGGTATTCACTTTATATTTTGATCAGCCTATAAAACACACACACACACACACACACACACACACACACACACACTTTCTGTTTTATAGTACTGGGGTTGAAACCAGAGCCTTGTGTGTGCTCTGCTACAGAGCTACATCCCTACCTTTTTAGGTTTGAATCTGAGCTGGGGTCTGGCTGACTCACCCAGGATGCCTAGAACTCCTGATTCTCAGGCTCCCAAATACCTGGCAGTATTTCCACTTCTTAAAAAATGCCTATTTTCTTTTGGATAGAAAATAGGGATTGAAGTGGACTGGTTAGAAATGACCGCATATGCAGCAGAAGTTGGTGGAGACTTACCTTCACGTACAGCTGCTGGAACTCCTCAAGGTTCAGCCTCCCGCTCGGACAGTCCTTGAGAAAGCCTTTGTACCACTGCTTGAGCTCATGCTCGTTGAACTCCGTGCTCTTCACCAGGTCCTCCATGACCTCGGGGGCCAGCTTGCTGTTCTGCTTCCCCATCCTGCCTGAAGAGAGGCAAAGCAAAGCAATTAGCCCGGAGCACACACTTCAGACTGATGGGGAGTCTGGGAAGGAGCTCAGTCCGGCCATCTGCATGGTCTCCTGTCTCCTGCCTTCTTAGTGTGATGGAAAGGACAGCATCAAAAGAGGCCTTGAGGCAGTGGACGGGTTGTGGTGCTCACGGCATCCTCATCAGTCACTGTCGCACAGCCCGGCTCCCTCTTCATGTCTTTCATACCAGCTAGGGGAACGCTCTCTGCCTCTTCTCTTATGAATTACAGATCACTAGCACTTGCTACCAGGGCTCTACTTTTTTTTTGGTCACAGGGGGTGGGTGAGTGGGTAACCACTCTAGGGGTCAAGTGCAGAGCCTCTTATATGCACTCTGCCACATCCCTGTCCCTTTTCATTTCTATTTTGAGACACAGTCTCACTAAATTACCCAGGTTGGCCTTACACTTCTGATCTGCTGGCCTTGGCCTCCCAAGTGGCCGGGATTACAGACTGACAATGCACTTCCAGCTGCAGTGTCAAATTCCACGTTCAGATCACAGGGCTAATACATGACATTACTGATAAGAATGAAAAGACTCATAATAAAATTATCAAAGCGTAGCCTTGAAAACTTGACGAGCATCATAAAGCATCTCAGCCTCGTTCTCAAATTCTAGCTGTTTAAAATGAAAACAACTCCTTTTTATTAGCCACATTAGTTCTTGGCTTCTCCCTTCTTCATACATTTTCTATGGTGTTGTCATCAGAGTTAACAAATTCTTGATGGCTTTCTAGGCATTGGCTGGTGAATTTCAATTGTTGCTACTGACTGGGGGTAAAAAATATAGGACGTAAAATAATGTCATCTGTATCAGTTGTGTGCCAGGTTATGTGGCCAACATCAGGATGGCATGCAGGGAGACAGGGTGTGCTTGAGGGTCTTTCCTGGCTGCTTCTCCTGACCAGGCCGTCCCCTGTACATGCTGCTTAGGGTGATGCTAACAGAGCAGATGTTAATGATGGCTTCATTAATACAGTAGATGTTATAAAACTCTGTCAATAATGGCTACTTAAGAAATAAATAGTCAAGCAAAGACCCCAAAGAGTACTTTGATACTGAAATAGTTCTAGACACCTCACCCATATTCCCCAGACTGTGTACTTCTTTAATTCTGCCTAGTAAATCGTTCTATTCCTCTCAAAACAAAGAAACAAAATAGTTGTTGCCTTAGTGCTGGAAAATTAAGGATAGTTAAATATTTTTTCCCTTAATTTTGTAGCTTTATAATAATAAAAGATTTAGAACAATAAACTAATCCTATGTTGTTTTTAAAAGTCAAGATAATCTTGAAAATCTGAAGGTCCATCAGAATAAGTAAACTACCAGTCTGGTTTAAACTCCGGTTAGAAGAGAATAAGTCATGTTTTGAAGGATATACTCAAGAGGACCCAGCTCTTCAGTGTTGTTAATGAATCTGCTCCGGGGCTCTAAGCAGGCTCATGCTTGCAACAGCTCAGAGGGGAGAAGTTCATCACATACTTCATTGTCATTATTTTTTCACATCTTTTCCTTAAACAAGATTCCACACCTATTGTTGGTAACCTGCCCTAACACTGAACAATTCTTTCACTGTGATGAAATCAAGCCATGCCTGCTGCCCCAGGGAAGCTTCCAGTGGGTGCCTGCAGCGCAGCATAGCAGATGCTAAGGTCAGGACAGTTGGTGGTTTCCCAGGCTCCTCTGAGGGAAGAGGACCAGGAACCACAAAGACGTCCTTTATCATGGAGCTTTTCTATTTCTTTTTGCTTTTAATTTCAAGTTTCAAGCCTCTTATTTGCAACTGTCTCTTAATTATAAATTACTGGGGGACTTCACAACTGGATGTGCAAATCAAGTGGTACTCACATGTCAGGTTTAATTAATTTGGGTAAGGAAACTGTAATTCATGGTTATTCCGATAGTCAAAAGATGTACTACAAGCCTTTTGGTACATCACTTTGTTCTTTTCAGTCCAAGCACATTGCACAAACTTTCATTATCAAACTAGAGTCCCAGGTCACGATAACCGCTACTGAAGGTGTGGTGTGGGCTGTGCGTAAAGGGCTGTGACTCTAGACAGCTGGGAGCGGTGGCTAGGGTGGCTCCCCAGACTCAGAACATGAAAGCACAGTGAGGGGATGATGAAGCTGGAATTGGAGCCGGGGTCTATGGGACTCCAGCACTTATTCACACAAAGACAGGCGGACAAAAGGCATTTCAGGGAAAGGAACAGAAGGAACAAAGGCAAAGGGAGAGAAACCAGATTCCGTTCCAGGACAGGAGGAGAGATGGATCTGCTGCCTTGTGTTGTAGTCAGGGGTTGTGCAGAGAACAATTAGAATCAGGACATGGAGTGCATAATATTATTTTTATAATGGTCACTGGGAGTTAACACAATAAAATGCAGGAAATCTATCTGCAACACCAAAGACATAGACTATTTAGTCAAGGGCCTAAATCCCACAGCAATATCCCACATGAATCCAGATGAAGACCCAGAGCCCATGACATTGCCTCCCACGGGTCCAACTGGAGGTCCAGAGCCCACAAGAAGGACTCACACCAGTCTCTTTTATGCAATGGTGCTGGGAAGGCCCAAAGGTCAGTGGTGGAAGCCAGAAAGTCCATGCCAGTGAGGCGAAGGAGCTGTGCTGGTGGGATCAGGGTTCTATGCTGGAGCTGAGAAGTCACACTTACAACAAAGACCAGGGCTGTCCTGAAAGGCACCACAGCCATCCTCAGCCACACAGAGGCCCTGAGCTCCTCCTCCGACAAGCACAGTCAGGTATGTGCCAGGAAGCCAGCGTTACAAGTTCATCCTGGAGACCAAGCGGCACATGTTTTCCCCTCCCGAGCCAGGAAGCAATGCTCAATGTGAGGACCAGAGCTTCTCCAAGAGAACCAACAGCTCAAACAGCAACACATAGGAGAACCCACAATGCCTCCATGCAACAACGCATTAACGCCTCAACATCTCCCTTCTTTTCCACCTATTTATCCTGGCAACTTTCCTCAGGTGGAGCATCTTGGCTCAATGCCATGCTGATGTAATCCAGCTGGTGTTAAGTTGACCGCCAGTTCTTAATCCATGACACCTTGGCAGACTGGAAAAGATAGATTTGCTAGAACTACAAGCTCAGAGGTGGCTTCACATTAATTATGGGAAAATGAATGAAAGGTCTTTAAAAACACCTCCCCCCAAACCCTTAGAAGTTCAGCAATGCTCACTGAAAAAGGGTTTGACTGTCTATGACCTCTTGTACAACCCTAACCTGCTCTGCTGACTGGGAGAGGGTGGGCTCGCACACACAGGGTGCACTGTCAGGATGGTGAGTCACACTTTTGGAGACTTGCACATACAACTTTATACCTTGGGCCAAGGTCTGCCTAGCGCTGGGTGGATCCTGCCAAAAGTCAAGTTCTGGCCTGGCTTGGAGTGGCTGGCATTGCCACTGCCCTCCTCAGGCCCCGGCAGGTCTTGCCTGGATTAGTGAAAGGCCTCCTCCCCGAGTGCCCTGACTACAGTCTACCTTCCACACGGCCACGTGGGTTTCTGTAACACCCACACTTTGGCCTGTTCTTCAGAGTCCTCAGTATTCTCCCCATCTCCAGGACAAAGCCCCTTCTCAGCATGACAAAGGTCCTGTCTATCCCAGCCTCATATTCTGCCAGCCTCTTATTTCATGAGCTAATCAGCTACCACCAGTTCCAGAACTGCACACCCTCCCCAACAAGCTCTGAACGTGCCCTTGTTTCCTGGAGGGCTGTCTCCGTCATTTGCTTGCCAGACATCTCCCCTATCTCTCTCGCACACCAATTCCTCCTGAACCCAGGCTGCCGGCTCAGATGCCTTTCCTCCTAGCATCTCCTTTGCCATGCAAACCTCCCAAGATCACTATTTCTCTGTTGGACTGTTAGTTTCTTGGGAGTAGACTATCTTTTATTTATCTTTGACTCTTTGGTGATGTGTACTAGGTGGTCAGCAGACTTTATTTATTTGAGAGAGAGAGAGAGACAGATAAACAGAGAATGAATGGGGGGGGGCTGGGCATTTGACATATTTCTTCCTAGGAGCACCAGTGTCTTAATTCCTCTACATGGAGAGTCAATGCTATCATCAAATACATAGTGTAGTTTACAGATGGGGCAAGTGTTTCACTTAACAGTGTGGAAAACAGCCTCCTGTCCAAGGGGTGGGACTCTGCTCTCATTATGTAATTTTGAACACCTGGAAAGTAGGGCTCACCTCTTTTATCTCAGTGTCCTCTGTAATTGGCATAAAGGTGGTGCCTAGTAACATCTGATAAATAAGTGAAAGTGAGGCTGGCCTGGTGCTCCAAACCCAGGCTTCTTTGTTCTGGACCACAGTGGGACCAGATGTTACAGTCAGGTAAAATGTTCCCCAAAGCCTGTGCTCCTACGTAAGGCCCACAGGAGGTGAGTCGATCACCTGTCAGTGGGTTAGTGCCCTGAGGAGTTTATAGTTGACTCACTTTTAGGAGTGGGACCTGGGGATGTGCCCTAGAAAGATCTCTCTCCCTTCCCCACCGATCAATCTCTGCTTCCTGAATATGGGGCATACACTGTGTGTGCTCTGTGACACCACCTTGCCTCGGGCCATGGACTGAATCTCCTGCAAACCTGGACCCCAATAAACCTGTCCTCCCCAGAGCTGTGAGTGTCCGGTCTTGTGTTTTAGTCTCAACAAAGTAACTGAGATAACATCTTACTTTCATTATGAGAACAGGGGAGAAAAAGGGTGAAGCTGACGAGCAAATCTCTTCATGTCCCACATAACGAGGCACCGTGCTGGCCTTGAGGGAAGCTCCTCTCTCACTCACTCTGTGGCCCATGGAGAGGCCCTGGCTTCCCTGTGTACTTAAGTCTCCCCTCTGAAAACACAAGCAGTTTTGGAGCAGATGACCTATAAGGCCGGTCTCATTGTATTTACTGTTCTGCTGCACCAAGTTC